AAAAAAAAAAAAAAAAAAAAAAAAGTGACATTGCAGAAATATTACAATAATTGTAGAAAAATTGAACAATACAGAGATAAAGCAGAAGGAAAAAAGAATTCCCCCATCACATTACTCCAAGACTCCCAAGACAGCCCACGCTAACGTATTATTCACTTTGTCCCACTTTTGCTTTGACTTATTTTATTCGCCTCATAAGCTTTAAAGTAGGATAGCTATATAATTTATAGTATAGGTAAGACGTGCTGACTCACGCCTGTAATCTTAGCACTTTGGGAGGTTAAGGAGGTAGGATCACTTGAGGCCAGAGTTCAATCCCAGCCTGGGCAACATAAAAAGACCTGTCTTTACAAAAAAAGTTAGCTGGATGTCATGTTGTACTCCTGTAGTCCTGGCTATTTAGGAGGCTGAGGATCACTTGAACCCAGGAGTTGAAGGCTATAGTGAGCTGTGGTTATGCCACTACACTCCAGCCTGACAGAACAGAGTGAGACCCTGTCTCTAAAAATGGAAGAAAAAAAAATTACAGTGTACTTTTTTTTCTTTTAACTCAGTGATATTTTGGAAGCATTTTCCCATGTTACTGAAAACCCTTTATAATATGAAATTTAACTGCTGAAGAAGTTTCCATTATTCTGAATTACTTTTTTGAGAACATCTGGATTTATTTCTAATTTTTTGTGATTATAACTACACAACTGTGCATAGAATTTTTTATATGTTTCAGACTGCTTTGTTGCATATGTTAACAGCTTCAGCAACAATGTGTAGAAGAACTCATTTCTTTTTTTTTTGTTGGTTTCTTTTTTTAAGAACTCATTTCACTAAAACTTGACCAGCACTGTTTATATAATTTTTTCATATTAATTTATCCAATAGGCAAAAGTACTTTGTTTTTATTTGTTAAAAATTACAAGTATTGGGCCAGGCACACTGGCTCATGCCTGTAATCCCAGCACTTTAGGAGGCCAAGGCAGGGGAATTACCTGAGGTCAGGAGTTCGAGACCAGCCTGGCCAACTTGGTGAAACCCCATCTCCACTAAAAATATGAAAATTAGCCAGGCATGGCCGTGCATGCCTATAATCCCAGTTACTCAGGAGGCTGAGGCAGGAGAATTGCTTGAACCTGGGAGGCAGAGGTTACAGTGAGCTGAGATCAGGCCATTGCACTCTAGTCTAAGTGACAAGAGTGAGACTCTGTCATAAAAAAAGAAATTATAAGTATTAAAAAATTTTCTCATTAACCAGTTGTTATTTTGTGACTCTTTCTTGCTTGTGCCTTAGTTTTCTTTTTTATGTGACACGGAATCTTACTCTTTTGCCCAGGCTGGAGTGCAGTGGCACGATGTTGGCTCACTGCAACCTCCACCTCCCAGGTTCGAGGGATTCTCCTGCCTCAGCTTCCCGAGTAGCTGGGATTACAGGCACATGCCACCATGCCTAGCTAATTTTTATATTTTTAGTAGAGATGGGGTTTCACCATGTTGGCCAGGCTGGTCTCAAACTCCTGACCTCAAAGGATACACCCGCCTTGGCCTCCTAAAGTGTTAGGATTACAGGCATGAGTCACCTCACCCAGCTTTGCCTTAGCTTTCTTTGAGACAGAGTCTTACTCTGTTGCCCAGGCTGGAGTGCAGTGGCATGGTCTTAGTTCACTGTAACCTTGCCTCCCGGGTTCAAGCAATCCTTCCTTCCGCTGCAGCCTCCCAAGTAGCTGTGGGTCTGCAGGCACGCACCACCATGTCCGACTAATTTTTAGTAGAGACAGGGTTTCACCTCGCCATGTTGATGAAGCTGGTCTTAAACTACAGACCTCAGGGTGATCCGCCCACCTCAACCTCCCAAAGTGCTGGGATCACAGGAGTGAGCCACTGCGCCCAGCCTGCCTTAGCTTTTCTATTTGGATCTTATTTAGGTACTTATTTTGGTAGCCATAGGTATCTTTAACTGTGCAGATTGTCTTTGGGTTTTTCTTTTTTTCCCCTTTAAAATTATGATCTTCATTTATAAGATAAATAAAAATGGGAAAATGCTGTAGAACCAATTTAATTTTTTTTTTTTTTTTTTTTTTTTTTTTTTTTTTTTATTTTTTTTTTTTTTTTTTAAAGGCAGGGTCTTGCTTTCTCTCCCAGGCTATAGTGCAGTAGTGTAGTCATAGCTCATTGTAACCTCGAACTCCTGGGCTCAAGTGATTCTCCTGCCCCAGCTTCCCAAGTAGCTAGACTATATTTGTGCCTCACCACACCCAGCTAATGTAGAATTAATTTATGTTAGTTTTTGTTAAAGTCAAATAGAAAAATACAGAAATACCTAAAATGAGAGGCAGGTTAAAGGGTAGTAGTTATTATAGTTGGTATTTCTAAACTTTAAAATCTAGATGTGAATTGGCACTCTTCAATATATAAGACAGTTGCCAGCATGATTCTGATAAGTGTCTGGGGACTAGGATACATGAGATGCATTTTCAGATTTGAGTATCTGACCCTGCTTTGTTGTTAATAGAACCAAGGTGGGAAGCTGGCAGTGCTTGGTTCATGTCACATGTTCAGTGACCAATATTTGGACAAAGAAGAAAACAGCAAAATCATGGTGAGTTGGTTTTTTTTTTTTTTATCACATTAATGTATAATGTATAAGTACAATTTTCATGTCATTTAAAAAAATACTGACAGCCGGGCGCGGTGGCTCACGCCTGTAATCCCAGCACTTTGGGAGGCCGAGGCGGGTGGATCACGAGGTCAAGAGATCGAGACCATCCT